AATATTCCATAGTTCTGACCTAACTCTGACATCACTATTGTTAAAAACAACAAAAAATAAATAGTTCTGACTCAAAATTTTTACAAATTACAAATTTGTAATGTAACTGCTGCACAACAATTTACCTTGGGATAAATAAGGTTCTATCTGATCTTATCAAAGAGTGGGTTATTTTCTGTCTTACACTGTGTGAACATCAGTGACAAACTAGACAGTGGTGGGTGTCATCTGAACATAACCGAGAGAATCAGTTGATTCAAAGCCTGTGAGTACACACATACTTTCACATGCACACAGTCCTGAACTTACTCTGAGCTATCTTGGCTAGGTGGAGCCGGTTCACCCAGGAGATCTTACAGATGGGGCTGGGAGTGTTGAAGACCACCATGATGCTCACTGGACGACCAGACCTGGGAAGAAATAGTATAGTGGGCAGAAAACCACACGTACATTCACGCTCCTCTGCCTGGTAAAACCTGACTATGGTTGTACCTCACTGTTTTGAGCACGTCCTATATGAACTCCTTGGCACTCACTTGTCAGGTTTGCCCGGTACAGACAGGCGCAGGCGACACTTGTTGGCGTTCTGGATCTCCTCCTCCTTCAAACGGATAAGCCTCTGCAGAGCCAAACACCAGTCCTGAGATACTGTGGTGTTCAGGTTCTTACACAGCAACACAAGAGGGGAGAGGAAAGATGGACCTGTTAGACTGTTTTAGTTTAACATCCTCTGAGAAAGATTGGGGGAAAAAAGTTTAAAGTTAGAGAAAAACAGAAGTTTATCTTAAGTTTAGCTTTATCTGTGGCCACAAGTGAAAGGGTGATTCTGGTTAAACACAACTTTAATTTCACAACAGAAATGACCGCTCAACCTAAAATGGCCGACTTCCATTTAGGTTTGGGTTATGGCTCCGAGAGCATTTTTTGTACATCAGGACATAATCTACATGTGTACCACTTTTCATACTCATAGGTGAAACGTGCCATTATTATATAATGGCACGTGTCAAGCCATTTTTCCCTGCATATGTCTGAGACCCATAGAATACGTCAATTTCGCCACAACTGACATGTGCACAGATTTTCAGGACTTCTGGGATATGATAAGGCCTCCAAAAAGGCCACTACATTTTATGAATAATAATAATTCCTACAGATACAATAAGGCCTTCGCACAATTTTTGTGCTAGGGCCCGAATGGGCGGCTGTGGCTCAGAGGCAGAGAGGGTCGTCTGCTAATCAGAAGGTTGTTGGTTCGATCCCCGGTTCCTCCTGCCATGTGTCGAAGTAAAATTCACCGAAAATGACCACAGAATTCAAAATGGTCAACTTTGACGGCATGCCACGGACACACCCTTCAAAGTACATGCACAGATAGCACAACTT